CCATTGAGTCGGACCCGACTCATAGCGACCCCTCCTTGGGTTTTCGAGGCAGTATCACTACGGAAGTAGATTGCCCCATCTTCCTTCCGAGGAGTGGCTGGTGGGTTTGAACCACCAGCCTTCTAGTTAGCAGTCAAGTGCCTTAGGCACTATGCTACCAGAGCTCCAAAAATACGGAACGCTTCACGAATTTGTGTGTCATCCTTGTGCAGGGGCCATGCTAATCTTCTCTGTATCATTCCAATTTTAGTATATATGCTGCTGACATAAGATAAATATATTATGTGTATATGTTGTTGTTATGCGCCATTGAGTCGGACTCGACTCACAGCAACCCCTTCTTGGGTTTCCGAGACAGTATCACTACGGAAGTAGATTGCCCAACCTTCCTCCCGAGGGGTGGCTGGTGGGTTTGAACCACCAGCCTTCTGGTTTAGCAGTCAAGTGCCTTAGGCACTATGCTACCAAAGCTCCTTCATTTGTGTATATGTATGTACATATACATAGAATTGGGATGAATCAGAATCTATTTGATAGCAAAACATTTATATACATACATACATATAAACACACACACACATGCACACACACACATATGTTGTAAAAAATCAAATCCAAACTAAATCATTTTATTTTTAAAACAATTTTAAGATATTCAGTAATGTGGTATGAAAACAGTGGCTTATAATTAAATAATTTATCATTGAAGTATACTTTTCTGCCTCCTACTTTATTATGAGTTTAATTTATGTTGATTATTACTCCAATTTGATTTTTGCTTCTCAGAAGTCAAATGAATTGTACAACTTGATGTACAATGTGCATACGTTCGTTTTTACAGTTTTGGTGGAACAAAAAGGCAAAAATCAGTTCACCCAATTTAGATCTTAACAATGATTTATGCGTTATGTATGAAGGAAAACAATGAAGACAATTTCTTCTTTAAAAGTATATACAATTCCAACTTAGTTGTGCAATATATACATTTATGTTTTGACTTTATCTGTCAAAATAAATCAGTACACATGAAATTATCTTTTTATATTTACATATTGACTACATTTTTGTTCTTTACAGTTTAAAAAATTTGTTAGCATTTTCTTTATTTCAGAGTTACCCCATATCTTTTTCTAAAGTTTAAATTAGCCTTTCAAATTTATTTAAAGGATATACCTTAAAAAACACAAAAAGCATAGTTCTAAAAAAGTTTTGTGTACAATTATTTTGAGTGTGCAAATTGAAATATTCAAAATGGACCAGGGCGCTCAATTGAAGGAATCCTGCCTTCTGTTAATGATGCATTAACAGAAAAGATTTTCATATATTGGATTATAGCTGCATATCAGGAGCCCCTCGGTGGCACAAACAATTAAGGACCCAACTATTAGCTGAAAGTGGCAGCTCGAACTCCCTCAGAAGTGCTCCAGGAAACAGGCCTACTGATCTTCTCCCAAGAGGTCACAGCCTTGACAACCCTATACAGCAGTTCCACTCTGTACACATGGGGTCGCCAACAGTTGGAATGACTTGAGGGCAACTAACAACAAAACAATTGTATAACCGAATGGATAAATATAGTATAAACTTGTAACTCATAGTAAGTTTTAATACAGTCACTTGTGGGATTATGACAAAATGGTTTTTGTTATCAGTATGCTTCACAGTTAATAGATAACATACTTTTTTTGTGAACACAACACTGCCAGCTAGAAATGATTTCTGTCCAATTAAAAGTTCTCATTTTGTTATGAACTTTTTTTACCAAGTGAGTCGTGCACAATTTAACATCTTCATGTACTTTCGTCATTGTTACTATGTCACAAAGCTTTTGCGGCAGCCGTGCATGAAGCAACTCAATGTTTTGATCATGTTGTATAGGCCTTGTGTATATACCATTTATGAAATGGAAATTTTAACATGGCATCTTTTAATCTCCATACTCTACCTACTCCTAAAGCAAAGTTATACCTGAATAAACAACAACAACAACAAAAACCCAAACCCACTGCCACTGAGTCAATTCCAACTTATAATGACCCTATAGGACAGAGTAGAATAGCCCCCTAGGGATTGCAAGGCTGTAAATGTTTACAGAAGCAGAATGCCCACCTTTCCCCTGTGGAGGAGCTGGTGGGTTCTGACTGCTGACCTTTTGGCTTAGCTAGTTGCCTAATGCTTCACCACAGAGCCACCAGAGCTCCTTTCATACTTGAACAGAAATACATAACTGTTATTTTAAACAATTTTTTTTTTAAATTTCTTGGATGAATATTCACCTTTGCTTAAAAGTGCTAAAGAAATACTCCTCACTATAGCCTCCACCTCAAATTTGTGTCTGATAACAGAAACCACCCACTTAGGCCACTTTCTCCTAGTGTAGTGGTCCTGAACCAGGCATGGGAATTGGGCAATGTCTGGAGACATTTTTGATCAGCACAACTGAGATAAGTAGGGGCTTCTCATCATTCTACAGAGCACAACAGTCCCTTTTCCTCCATAAAGAATTATCCAAGTCCAGAATGCAACAGAGCCAAGGTTGAGAAAATCTGTTGTAGTGTGATACATGGTGCAGAGACAAGTCGTTCATTTTTCAGTTTATAGTGATCTAGCTACTCCATGAAGACCATGCCATCAAGACAGATTACCAAAGCCAAGGCTTGCCAAGGCCCTAAAGCTTGCTTTGTGTATGAGCTCAGTTTAGTGTTTACTGAAGGAGGATGAGGCCGAGTGAAAAGGAGGAGCAGGTTGTAATTCACATTGGAAAACAAATATGCATAAATATATATATATATAATAATTACATGGTTTATTAAATATTCTCTATCAACTTAATGACCAGTTTCACCTCCACTTATTAGTACTATTAAATTATTTTAGGTAAAATTTTGGTTGGAGTGAATTAGTGCTTTGTAACCACGCAGTGGTTTTAAGAATTGGGATCTGGCACACATGATGGAGAGAATACCATTGCGTTTTTGCTATAAATCCCTGATATTTCATAGCTGTTTCTTTTTCTTGTTTGCTTGGCTTTGTCAAATACAAAATCGACCATTAAACAGTCTGGACGCTCCTGAGCTGCCAATACACGGGCCAGGCTAGGAAGGCTGTCAAAGTCAGACCCACATGGGCAAATTAATGTTTTCAAGTCAAACTCTTGGAGGATTGTCTATTTGCATTATAAGAAATCCAGATCATAGACTTTCGAAGCTAAAAGCATCACTGCTGAACTCCAATCCAATATTCCCCTTTTATAACTGGGGACACTGAAGTTTACAGAGGCCAAGTGAGTTGTCCAAAATATTAGATGTGTCATTTCTGACATGAAATAGTTCCCACTGCCCTCACCAGTACTGTCTTCCTGCTAGTCTCTCTCAGAGAATGAGTGAGTTTAGAAATAAAACAAAGATGGTACAAAATGAAGAAATGGTGATGTCCCTCAAAGTCTGGGCCCTTTACATCAGAATGTATAGAGTGCTTCCTAAAATGTAGATGGCTGGGCCACATCTTGGCCTAAGTAAGAATCACAGGAGGTGGGGTCTAAGATCCTACCTTTGGAACAAACTTGCTGTGGTAGTTATGTTTGTGTGTCAACTTGGCTGGGCCTGGTTGAGTGGCTGGGCAGCTGGTGGTAGTTATTCCTCATGATGAGACTGGCAATCAACTCCATGGTGGGATCTACCACAAGCAGCTGAGTAGCTGCCTTTGGTTATGTGGTTTGCTTCCTGTGTATAAAGAGAAGC